AAGGTGCACAACAGGGAATAAACGGTTCCTATTGGCCGAAAAGGAAAGCAAGGCATGAGGGAAGTGAGAAGGAAAGACAAATCTCAACAAAAACTGTCTCATCCAGCCACGTGCGCCCCTCAAAACACTGTTCGCACCGCCCCTTTCATGCAGTCAAGAAACCGACTCCAAAGAATTTACAAGCTTGCCACTCACTCTTCTACCTATAAATAGGACGTTCTAGCACGAAGACATCCATCGAATTCCTAAGGGATTAAATTCCTTAAGAAGAGATCACTTAGTTTATTTTTGTAGTTTTTATTTGTATATTTTTAACTTTAGTTAAGTGACAACACTTTTTCTTCTTTCTGTATCACCCACTTGAGATTCCTCACGAGCAACAACCATCTTCTCCACTTTTCATTTTATTGTAATCAATTTGTTTTCATTTAAATACAAGTGTTATTTCTCTCCTTTCCACTCGTTATCTCTGAACTGAATCTCGGGTCTATGAGACTTCAGTTTAGAATAATTATGTTTAAACTAGTAGCCATGGGCTAAACTATCTGTGGAATGGAAAAACTGCAAAGTTCTTAAAAAGTTCTTTTCGAAACTCTTGTATTACAGCTTTTGTGTTTCTCTGGTTAAGTGTGCTATATTCATTGTGTATCTTTGGAAATCGAACACATACTGAGAAAGGATATTCCATAAGGAAGGGATTTCAGACAGCTTAACCAGAGGGGGAAGACAGTACTGTGGAAACAGTATTGCTGGTTGCCTTAGGAATAAGGGACCACTTCATTCATTTTAAGGTTCTGCACTAAGTACCTGTTGGAGTCAAGGGAGCCATAGGAATATGGAAACTTGTGAGCCATCTAGTCCATAAGCTGAGGAATCAGACGTTGGCAGAAAGGAAACTGGAACAAATACATAAGTGTTGAGTCTTGAGTAGAGAAACTAACCATTTAAGAATGGAGTAGTTGATCTGTTCCTTATGTTATTATTGTTTTTAAACCATCTACCCTGTTGTCTCTTGATTATTGTTATTACTTTTTGTATATATTTTTTCTTTATTTAATCTTGTATCTATAAAACTCTTATGAATATTGCTGATCCTTCCCTAAACAAGAAGGATAACATATATAACAAAGCGATGAACTGTTTGTTGTCTGATTGAACCTACTGTCCTTGAGAAACGTTGTCAAGACAGTAGAGAACGTTTGACCAAACAGGTCAATTACTAACTTTTTTTTTCATTTTCATTCTCTATAAAACAGTATAAGACATTAATTAGAGTTCTACCCTCGTGGGAACTATAATCTGGACATAATACTCCCATTCATTACTTGATGTGTGCACTTGCGCACTTGGGTTAAACTAAGAGAACAACTATATTCTTTCTTAGTGAACTGAGGAACGTTTTCATCATAATACACTTTTCACCCAACTCTCTTTTGAACCCAACAGTATGCTTAGTGGAAAGGACTAAGATGCAACTGAAGCGTGTGTGATGATTTGATTGTTTAATTCTTTGGCCATTTGAATGCACGAGTATGTTGTAATTAAATCATTATTGTCATTGCCTCTAGATATATGATGTAGTTAATGTCATGTGGACACTAACCCTTCATGCAGGAAGTGAACTCTGGGGTTGGAGAAATTCTCCAAGAACCCTGGGTTTATTGAGTTTTATCTCACCCCGTTTGGGGAATGCTATTTCAGGTACTTGCATGGATGATGCGGGACGAGGCAAGGGACCTGAGTAGATGACATATGATAGCGTGTCATTTTGGGATTGTATATCATCTAGGATTGTTAGATGTATGTAGAGGTGGCAAAGCGGGCTGGCCCGCCCCGCCTTTGAAGGTGGGCTAGAAATCTCAGCCCACCCCGCCCCGTTTGGGCGGGAGGGACGGGCTGCCCGCCAAGCCCATAACATTTTACACTAAAAAAAAAAATCAACCCGGGCGGGCTTGGCGGGCAGTGGGTTTGAAAAACTTAGCCGGCCCCGCCCCGTTTGGCGGGCGGGGCGGGCCGGCCTGGCGGGCTGAGCCCATTTTGCCAGCTCTAGATGTATATGTCAGTTACATCATCATATGTTTGTGTATTTTGAGGTCATATGAGGTAATATGATATTATGTTGTTGTAATTTATAGATTGGTGCAAGGATTATTTAAGAGATTAAAGATAAATGATGGGATGTAAGCGCCATAATATGTTTTGGATATTATTTTGCCATTCCTAGCCTATTAGGTGTGAAGAGGATGTTGAAAGAGGGAGGAATTTCCTCAAGAAGTTATATGAAAATAGGGGAGCACGTGTGTTGCCCAGCTGGAGAGCGGTTTAGCGCTGATAAGAGCGCTAAAGCGCGCTGTGTTCGTGAAATGGAGGAAAAACCTTTGCCCTTGGGCGCTAAAGACCTGGAGAAGGCAAAATTCTCTGCCTCTGGGCGTTTTAACGCCCAGTTGAGCGCTAAAACGCGCTACCCGAAATTAGCAAAAACACAGTTTAGTAAAACTTGCATAACTCAAGCTACGGAGCTCTGATTTGAGTGCAGCTTGAACCCACTCGAAACTAACAAAAAGATCTATAATATAGTAGGAGATGAGAATTATAGAGGAAGTATAGAATTTATATAATAACAAAAGAGATGGAGACACTTAACAACGTGTGGTCTAATAAAATAAGAATACGATGTTAAGCTTAGTTTCATTTATTCTGCAATGTCATATGGTTATGGTCACGCAATTGGTTATTTTAAATTTGGCTTTGTTCAAAAAGAAAATTTATCTAGATTTCTAATTGAACCAATGTGATTGTAACTGCGCTTAATATCATAAAGCAATGTTAACAAACCGGTTCTAGAACGGGGTGTTACATACAACATGAGATACACTAATGCCTATATTTATAACATTTTTCACGATTAAATTATTTTAAATATAAATTTTACAAGTTTTACTATCTTAACTACCACATGACAATATATTCTCACATCATTTTGCCTCTACACTCTTTTATATGTATTATATTCGATCTGATTGGTCTAGGACAGGATGGGCCAAACCACACACAATTGAAGGTTGAAGGTTATGGGCCTTGTATCTGTAACAAGTTAGTGTGTTATTATGGTGGAATGAGCTTCTCCTTGGTTTGTTTATGTTGTGACTCTGGTGCAATGGAAGTGATTGGGGAGGGTACCTGCAAAGACACTCTGGCGTTCAAGTTAGAATTAATGCGAGGTATATATAGTTTAACTGAGAGATATGTACTTGGGATTGTTCCCTCTGTATTTATAGTGTGCATTGTGCCGTCCTTTGTAGACAACATCTCTTCTTATTAGTGATCTAGGGTGGCTACCCTTCTGTTATAGTTGTTACCCTTCGTAGAGCGGTGGCAAGCTGGAGTTGCCTCATCTACACTGGTTCTTATGCGCGGTGGACCTTATGGAATCTCTATGTCTTTTCTTAGTCTTTAAGTTTTGCCTTGCGGCTTAGTATGATAGTATGCACAATAAGTCTGTTATGCACAATAAGAGTAGTCCGCGCAATGTGGACATTGCGTCCACCGCCTTAGGTCCCCTCATGAGCCTCTAACTATTGGGCCTATACGTTATCCGAATCAATATTATTAAATCAATTTTTTGGGGACAATATATTATAAAAATATAAAAAAGAAAAAAGTTCAAAAAACCCCTTTGATTTATTCTTTCTTATCACTTATTTCCTCTGTAATTTTTTCATCCAAGTCTATATTTGACACTATTAAAACTTGAGCTAATTTTTCTAGTGTACTCTCAATTTGCCTCTAAATTGCATTGTCATAAAAAAATTAACTAAATTATGCACTTTCACTCGTTCAACTCCAAAGTTTCAAGGCATTTTTCGATTCCTTCTTTTTACATGAAAATTTTAAAAACTTAGTTGATAAATATCTTAGTTTTGCTAATCACTTCATAGAGATTTTGAATTTAATTCTTAATCTTAAAGGGAATCCTCTTTCAATATAATATTTCATTTACAGAGTATTTGTAAATTAAAACACAATATTTGGATGATGATGCAATAGATAGTGTATTGAATTAAAAGTTGTTCAAGAGCGAACATCAATGTCTGGCAGGATAGTTAGTATTTGTATCTACAAAGTTTATGATAAGAATGACAAGCAATGAAAAGTCTTGCACTTTAGGCCAACATCCAATAGTATGAACATGAGATGTGTGTGTGTGAGAGTCACTTGCTTAGTAAATAGGATGTGCTCTGCCACAAGTGTGAATGTTGTAGTCATGGTAGCCAGCCTTGTGAATACTACGATAAGTTATAAGATGATAAGAGGATCTCAGATCATCCACTTGTTAGCTATGAGAGGTCATATATAGATGAAGTGCACTAGGAGATTGTGCACATAGTGAGGAGTTAAGAGAAAATGGGAGAGTGAAGTGTTTTATGTAGTAGGGATACGAAGTGGTCTGACGGTGCATAACAAAAATAATGACTCAAAAATTGAAGATACAAATATTAGAATAAATGTGAGATAGACTCTACATATATTATTTTGATTATGTTTTCATATTTTTTTAAAGTATTATAAAAAATATTTTAAGATTAGTTTGCTATTTTTTAGGAAGGTTATACACTTATACTTATCATCAATTAAATTTATTATTTTTTATCACCAAATTTTAACAGTTATTTTTTGTCAATATGGCAGTTATAATTTATTGATAATTAATAATTAATTAATAAATATTATCTAGTAAATTTTAACCATCATATTAACGAAAATCAACAATTAAAATTTGATGATACAAAAAATAATCAACTTAATTAATGCCTTCACTTTTTTTTTTTTTTTTTAATCTTTCATGACTTATTTGCTTATAAAATAAGTCAACAATTCCTACAAAAATAAAATAAAATAAGTCAACGATTAACACAGGAAGGGAAAATAAAGTTATGTTTTGGTGTTCAATAAAATAGCTGAGTTAAAACCCTAACGCCTAAAACCCTGAGTGTGGAGAGGCATAGGGTTTGGTTGGAGAGAGAGAAAAAGAGAGTGTAAATAATCGGTGAGAGAATAGAAGCAGAGAAGAGGATGGGGATTTTTGAACCTTACAGAGCAATCGGATGCATCACAAGCAGCGTACCCTTCTCTGTTCAGAGACTTGGCACTGAAACTTTCCTCACTGTTAGTGTTGGAAAGGCTTTTCAGATTTTTAACGTAATTTCTGAACCAAACCACACGCTCAGCTCAGCTCAGCTCACACACCTTCTTTTCTGTTTCCTTTCATTTCAATTTTTTTTTAAATCTTTGAATATATGATACACTATTGTTATTATTATTATTTTTTGTATTGACCTAACTTTCAATCAACTTCGCCGTTGATTTGGAATTTGCTCTTTGCAGTGTGCAAAGCTCAATTTGGTTCTCGTTGGTAAGACTGTTTTTTCCTTGTTCGTTTTTTATTTATTTTTATTTTTCAATTTTTGGTTTCTATTAAAATTTGCACTTTTACATGAAGGTCCTCAACTGCCAAAGAAAATCGGCGCTCTTGCTTCCTATCGCGAATACACTTTTGCTGCCTATGGGAATAACATTGCAGTGTTCAAGCGTGCACATCAGGTACTCAACATAGTGTTGTGGGTGTTTTGTTCTTTTGGAGCATTTCAGGAATTTTATCATTTGTTACTTTTTTAGGTTGCAACTTGGAGCAGCCATGATGCTAAGGTTAAATTGCTACTGTTGTTTGGAGAACATATCGTCAGTGTTGATGCTCATGGCAACATGTTCTTGTGGGCATTTAAGGAAATTGATCAGAACCTTGTCCAGGTTGGCCACATTATGCTTGATGAGAAATTTAGCCCCAGCTGTTTAATGCATCCGGATACTTACCTAAATAAGGTAAACATGTCTTTCTCCATTGTAGAAATTGTATTGGTCAGACGTAAGACCGCCCCTTATGATTGAGAAGCATGCAAACAGGTTCTTATTGCGAGCGAGCAAGGTCCTATGCAGCTTTGGAACATTAGCGCAAAGAAAAAAATATTTGAGTTTAAGGGATGGAATTCACCTATCTCCTGTTGTGTTTCGTCCCCTGCTCTAGATGTTGTTGCTGTTGGCTGTGCAGATGGAAGGATTCATGTACACAACATTCGATATGATGAAGAGTTGGTTGCATTTACACATTCTACGCGAGGTTCTGTGACTGCCTTATCTTTTAGCACTGGTAAGAGCACAAATCCTTTTAGTCTAAATTCATTAACGCATTGCACTTGCTGCAATGCTGTTATTGTAGATATCATATTACTATGCGAGCAATTTGTTTTGTTTTTGTCTGTTCTTAAGCAACATTAAACTTAATCTTTTCTAGTCATTTCTTTTATTTTTGGAAATGAAAAAGATTAATAATTTTTTAAGATTTTCATTGATTTATAATGAAGTAGTTAAATAAATGTTCTTACTCCTTGCTAACTTTCTGCAAAATTGAATGAGTTACACTACCTATTTAATTTTAACTGTCAATGCATGTGTTTTGAAGCCTCTGAGTCTAATGAACTGTGTTTCTGTTGTGCTATTTGAAGAATTGACAATTTTATGAATGTTCTCAAAATTCTTTTGATCCCCCTTATCATGCACAGCCTATGGATCCAAAAGGTGATTGCTGTATGAATCAACTGAATTCTTTCCTCATGGAATATATTTCTTTAATGAGTCTCCTTGTGTTAACTTTTCACTGCGTAGGAAACTGATCTGTTGACTTCTTCCAATAAGAATATATTGTATTATATCACAAAATTAAGTTTAATTGCCTCTCTTTTTCGGGATTTTTAACGTAGTGGTTTGTGCTTATTTTTATTGGTTTATTTATTTTTCCTGTTTAGATGGGCAACCACTTCTAGCTTCTGGAGGTTCATCTGGTGTCATTAGTATATGGAATCTGGAAAAGAAAAGGCTCCAGTCAGTTGTAAGAGAGGCTCATGATAGTGTGATCACATCACTACATTTTTTTGCTAATGAGCCAGTGCTAATGAGTTCATCAGCAGATAACTCTATTAAAGTAAGATTTTTTTTGAAGAAGACATACACACATGCTGCCTGCATATATAGATTTTTTATTGAATTTCTTGACAGACCTTATATCTAGGGGGAATATTAATTTCTGAGTGTATTTATGGATTGTTTTCTGTTTGCTTAAAAGAAGAAGAAGAAATGAAGTTATTTGTTCTTTGACGATGCTTGAATAGATTATAAAACTTAAAAGGTTTCTACGAATTTGCTTGAGTGAAAATGCACTCAGCACGCTGCTATTTTATATACACGAAGGGATTAATTACAATTTGTATTTACAAGAACAATGAATATCAAGAGACTCACTTCCTAGGACATGAATAATGTGCTGCATTGATTAAAATAACCATTTCCAACAAGTACTGTTATCTATACTCCCCCTCAATTTGGACTATATCTAGTCCTTTGTGCTTTACTGGTTGTAGTCACCATTGAAGCTCATGCTCATCTTTTTCCATTTTGATGGATTATCCATTTAATGGAGTAATATGTTGCTTCTGATCAACTTTTTTGATCTATAAAAATAAGTAACTTATCTTAGTTAATAAAATTTTTCAATTTTTATTTAGTCTGATTTTAATTGGTGTGAATTAGTCTTTCAAATTTTTTCTGACCTGGCTTTTTTTTTTCTCAGATGTGGATTTTCGACACAAGTGATGGTGACCCTCGCCTTTTGCGCTTTCGAAGTGGGCATAGTGCTCCTCCCCTTTGCATAAGGTAATAATTATTTTCCAGATGTTAATTTATTTAGGAATTATTTTTAATTATCAAATTTGTTGTGTATGTATCAATGTCTGTTAATACTAATTAATAATTATTATAGAAACAACTTTTTCAACTTCATCATCTGCTGCTCCTTAATTTCCATTTATCAACCTTTCGGTGGACGAAAGCTAGTGCTTTCTGTACTTTGGTGCATTTGGTCAGAAAGTAATGATTGAACTTTTGATTTTTTAGGGAAGTATCTATGATGCCGAAAGCGTATAGAAAAGTGGCTAAACAAAAAGTTAGGATTTCACAAAATAGTAAGCCTCTGGTTCTCAATTATAATTATCAAAATAACAAAATTCAACTCCTAGAAAAAGGGTCATAAGCACCCTTTTATGGACTTAATTACAAATTGATTCAAAATTCAAAAATCTAAAATCCTAAAAATAAGCAAACTTCCTACAATAAATATAACAGTAATTAGCTTCTAAAAATAAATAAATAATTACAATTAAATCATTCAAAATACATCCCAAATCTTATATCTCAAATCACGCCAAATGTGTTGCTTTCCTTTTGGTTGACTCTGAGCTTCTTGAGTCAATGGTTGAGCCATGTGCAATGGACCAACTGTAAGTGCATCAATCTATGTATCCTTGGTCATGCTTTCGAGCAAGGTTGTTTTCTTGGCATCTCTATGATGTTCAGCATAGGATTCTTCTGTAGAGTCCCCTTTGTTGATTTTTCACCAGAATATAGAGCTATTTTGTAGCTCTGTCAGGTTTTTGCAGTATTCCTTTTTATTGGTTGGCTTTCTTGTTAGTTTGGTGGAGGAGGATTCATTACCCTCCCTCCTTCCCCTCCCCCTCCCCCTCCCCCTCCCCTCTTTGGTAATCGTTTATCCAGAATGATGTTAAATTATTTGGATTAAATTAGCTATTTAGCATGTTTTATTTTTTATTTTTTGGGTCGTGTCATCTTATTATGTAATGGTTTGTTAATCTTGCACTTTCAATTTGACATGTACCTTCACTTAAGTCACACCTGCAAATGATATATATCGCAGGTTTTATGCCAATGGAAGACATATTCTTTCTGCAGGTCAGGATCGTGCCTTTCGCCTTTTCTCTGTAGTTCAGGTTGGTTATAATTCATTTATAGGATACGAGTTTCTTTAATATAGGCAAATTTTGTTTTGTTCTAGTTATGAAAATTATTGCCCCCCTCCCCTCCCCTTCAACCCCCCTTCCCAAATAAAAATAATCTCTACTCATTTGGATAAAATCAACTTCTTAACTTATTTTTTTTAGTTTAACTAATAGTCTGTCGGGAAAAATAATATACGCACCATTCCCAATATGGGCACACTAATTTCTTTGACTAATAAGATCATATTGGAAACTTACTCCATAAGAGCACTTGTCTGGAGTCCATTGCTGCCTCTATATCTACAGTCAAGGCAACCCCAAGCTAGTCCATTACTAATGCCTATAAAATAATAGTCATCTCTCTCTTGTATGTTTGTCTAGTTCTTTGTATCCAATAAGCCAATGACAATGTGCATTCAGATATATAAACTTTTATTTTTTTTAATTCTCCAGCCTTTTCTCCCTCCAAGCCGGTTGACATGCATATTTATTTTTCCCCTCTTTTATATTTTCTCTACTTTATGGCCTAATCTGTTGTGCATGTTCACTGTATACAATCATTTTCTACTAAATTGCTTTCCCCACATTAATGTATTTATTGAAATTTTAATAGGATCAGCAAAGTAGGGAGCTTTCTCAACGCCATGTTTCCAAACGTGCTAAGAAACTGAGAGTGAAGGTATGACCGTTGCTTTCATTCTGATTTTTTTGTTGCTTAACTGAATTTGGAAGGTATGTGCACGTATGTGTGCGTGTGTGTAATTAATTTAAGATATAATAAGGAAATCGTTTATAAAATATCAGTTAAGAAATTTTAAATCATTTTAAGATACAAGAAGATATTATGAGATATTTTCATATATTCCATTAATTTGAGTGCTTTATTTCATGGTACATGTTGGCCATGTTCAATCTTGGATGTTGGCAAAAGGGAGTTTGTAATTAATTTGTTCATTCTTTGACGCCCTATCATAGATCGTCGATAGGTTTTTAATAGTTACCCAATCAATCAGCCATGTCGCCGAGTGATACTGTCATACTGCCTACCTTGTGCTTAAGGTAGATGTTAACATGTAGGGAAAGGATTAAGAAGGGTATGGTACTCTGATTCTTTTTTCTTGTTAGTGAACAATTCATATTTTATTGAATATATCTGGAGGTGGTGATTTTCCCACTGTAACCTGACAATATTCATTCGATTATGATGCATTTAGTTATATTTATACTGTCTGTAATTACTAAATATTACTTCTTGTTTGACTAAACTCTAAAAGCAGTTTTACATGCTTAAATTCAAATTAGCTTCTTATATCTCATGTTGTGTATGTTTTGTACAGGAGGAAGAAATAAAATTGAAGCCTGTGATTGCATTTGATTGTGGTAAGTTCATCCTTTGGCATTCATTCATATTTGTGTTGGAGATCAAACTTAGACATGTAACTTCATCTAACGACTTGAAGTTTATACTTTGAACTAGTTGTTTCTTTGACAAATTTATTAAAAGCATGGCTGATAAATGACGAGTATATAGGCTTACTAACAAAGGAATGATGAATGATAATATTTTTGTGACCTTCTGGCTAGTTTGATTAAGATTTGTTAATTGGCCACAAAATTTTGGAATTAAAGCTGCTTGTTGTTTTCTTCTTTCTTTTTGGTAAAAGAATAAAATCATTAAGACAGCAGAAAATTACTCTGAATTTGGAGGATAAGGGATCCTCCATAACGAAAAAGATAGAAATGAACCAACAAAAAGAGAGAGAAAACATCAATAGAGCATTGCTGCCCAACCTCTGCATATATGTCCCCTTAAAAAAGGACCACGTGCTTTAACACCAAATAGAATCACATATTATTAACCCAAATCAGCTGTTGAGCCAGAGAAACCTCGTTAAATACTCATGATTACACAAACACATGTATGTAATTTTTTTATAATTGCACTTCTAGCATTCTATTCTTAAACAATTTAAAATATAGTGTACTTTCAGAAGTATCACATGTTCTTTTCTTGTGTAAACTTCAGCTGAAATTAGAGAACGTGATTGGTGCAATGTGGTTACTTGTCATATGGATACTGCCCAGGCATATGTGTGGAGACTTCAAAATTTTGTTCTTGGTGAGCATATATTGAATCCATGCCCTGAAAACCCAACACCTGTTAAGGTTAGGAATTCAACTTCATTCACTGCTTTTAAAGAAGATATATGTGTAATTGTTCTGCTTATTTTAGTATCTTACTTTATTCTAAAAGTTTTGTTGCTTCAAGTTCCTTTTTATAATGAAAAAAATATTGAACGTGTGGCATAATAATGATACAAACATGTGGCATATCTCTCTTAGGATGTCATTATTTATAATTATAAATATTTTGAACGACAATGGTGGATTCTAGTTGACTACTGCTTTCATATGGTAACAGGCTTGTGCCATCAGTGCTTGTGGCAATTTTGCCTTTTTAGGGACAGCAGGTGGTTGGGTTGAAAGGTTTAACCTTCAATCTGGAATTCACAGGGGTGCTTACATTGACTTGTCAGAATCAAGAGGTTGTGCTCATGATAGTGAAGTGGTTGGAGTTGCCTGTGACTCTACAAATACTCTCATGATAAGTGCAGGATATCAAGGAGATATAAAGGTTCATATTTCTTGTTTGAAGGCACTCTGTAATTGTAGGGAAATCATAATGACTTTGGTTTAATATGTTTTATTGCAGATTTGGGATTTCAAAGAACGATGTCTTACATCCAGAATGGAGATTGGTTGTTCTGTTGTTAAAATTGTTTACCATCGTTATAGTGGTAAATTGAATTTTTATTACTTTTCATGTTCATCTATCCACATGTTTGTGTATTCCTAATTCCTTTGTTTTGTAAAATGCATGAAGAGAAAAGAAGAAATTCCTACCCTATATAATTCTTACTTTTGGGTCATGAAGAAATTGAAGAGTTTTAATGATTTTTAGGTCTCCTGGCTACAGTAGCGGATGATTTAACAATCAGATTGTTTGATGTCGTGGCTCTTAGACTTGTTCGTAAATTTGAAGGTCACACAGATCGTATAACAGATTTGTGCTTCAGTGAGGATGGGAAGTGGCTTCTGTCATCTAGTATGGATGGAAGTCTTAGAATCTGGGATGTGATCTTAGCAAGACAGATTGATGCCATACAAGTTGATGTGCCTATCACAGCATTATCCCTGTCTCCAAACATGGATATACTAGCAACAACCCATGTTGATCAAAATGGGGTATACCTGTGGTGAGTTTCCAAATTTATTTTTCTTGGTTCGTAGAACATAATTTTGTAGAAAATATTTTCCATTTTTCCTAGTGTTTGCTGCATCTGATTTATATCGTTTTATAGTCTTTAGTGTGTAAATAATCCTATCATGAACCAACTATCCCCAAAGCTTAAGCAGTTAGGTGGAAGCACATGAATAATTTTATATCTAATACGTTCCCTTACACGAGCCATTTGAACTTGAAATGTGAACCTTGTCTTGAAATTTAACCTTTTTTATTAGAAGAATGGGATTGGCAAGATGAGGAAACTGATTTTCTCTTGTAGGAGTGAACTTTAGACCACTCACTCATAAAGACTTTGATAGCATTTCATGAACCAACTATTCCTAAAGCTTAAACTGTCAGGTAAAAGCACATGAATGACTTTATATCTAACGAATCCTATAAGATGGGGAAACTGATTTTCTCTTGTAGGTGGTCATTTTGTAGATTTAAGTCAGCGGAGATGCCTCATTATCTGAGGCAACATTCTCCATATAAAACATTTTCACTATCATGTTATTTCTTTGGAACAAAGGCTGGTTTTGTTAAATTGCTGAAAGGTATAAACAATCCTGAATGGGAAAAATTGTTACTTGTGATTAAAATGATACTAATGGAACAATGGTTCTATTAATTGCGAATGAAGTTTAGAATGCTAACAAGGAACCATTTTTAATAGTGAGAAATTTTATCAGGGTAAACCAATCAATGTTCTCTAGTACTTCAAATGTCGATTCATATGCAAGTGGAAAAGAGGTTGTGGGCGTCAAGTTGCCATCTATCTCTTCCACAGAACATTCTCAAGTTGAGCATGCTGAAGAGGTGGTAAATGCCTCTCAACCCAAAGTTGCTCCAGATTTTCCAACTCAAGATAAACAAATACCAGATCTAGTCATGCTTTCTTTGCTGCCTAAGAGCCAGTGGCAAAGCTTGATCAATTTAGACATCATAAAGGTCTTGACTTCTCAGCAGCATTCCTTCTATGCTATGAACTTCTGTGTGAAACCTTATTTCGTTCATTTTAATTTCTGTTTTCTGTTATGCCCATAAATGACATCTAGTTTATCCTGCTTGTTGAATTACAAACTGTAATTTCCAGGTTCGCAATAAACCTATTGAGCCTCCAAAAAAACCTGAAAAGGCTCCATTCTTCTTGCCTTCAGTTCCATCCCTCTCGGGGGAAATATTGTTTGAACCTGGTAAGTTATCAGTAAAGGAGAAGGATGGAACAGGTGAAGAAAAACAAATGAACAAGACAAGACTAGATATGCAACCATCCCGTTTTCTGTATCTTCTTGAATCATCAAAAGAGACAGACAGTTGTAAGAACCCAACTATTTTATTCTATTTTGCACCTTGTAGGTTGATCCTAGTCAATTGATTAGAGTTCGTTCATTCTTTGAAAATTTATTTTACAAGCACGTCTCTAAAATTTAACGTTCCAAATTGTAGATGCAGCATTCACTGATTATATCAAGGGATTATCTCCATCAGCTCTGGACATGGAACTTCGAATGTTTCAAATCATAGATGACGATGATCAGCAAGAAGCTGAGAAGAGACCTGAGTTGTTATCAATTGAACAGTTTCTAGATTATTTTATTCATGAGCTCTCCTGCAGAAATAATTTTGAGTTTCTACAAGCTGTCATCAGGCTATTTTTGAAGGTTAGGGACTTCCCTTGGCCAGTTTGGCTGTTTATGGAGTAGTTCAAATGCATTTGATTTTTTTTTTTTTTTTTTTTTTCTGGTTGTATGTTTACAATATTTCTTTTTTCATCTTGCTAGATACATGGTGAGACAATTCGGCAGCAGTCACACTTACAAGAAAAGGCAAGGAAGCTTCTAGATATTCAGTGCATGGTATGGCAGAGGGTAGATAAATTGTTTCAAAGTATGAGGTGTGTGGTTGCCTTTCTTAGTAATTCCCAAATTTAGGTGTGACGAGCCCTTAACTCGCAAAATGTCAATCCTTGAGCGATGATAGCCTAGGCAAAAAATCAAAACCAAACATTGATTCAGTGACGTTCAAGTATTTGTTCTAGACTCCATTTCCTTGGATCGATAGGGTAATCAGGGCAGCCAATTGGTTAAAAGTTGATTAGGTTTACTATTATTATTTTTGTGGGTATACCGAGGATTTCTTGTAACGTGATAAAAATAGTTTGATGTACTCATCTTCATACAAGCGCAATTTTTGTAAGGCACATTTTATATCAGTCTAATCGCAATTCATTTTCAATCAGCTTTATTCAATAGTAGTTTTCCTGCTTTTATGCAGATTTTTTTGCTTCCTCTCCTTTACAGTTATGTAGCTGAAAGGGTAGACATTGTTTAATTGTAAGAGGGATGCAAATGACATAGAAAAGCAGAAAATAAAACTCTTGGGGTCTTATTTTTACATGATTATGGAGTTGCTCTTGACCTTTTGTCAGGACAAAGCAATACGCGACTTCGATATTCTCCAAGTGCCCATATGGGAAAGATGTTTCTGTATGCAGAGTAACTGATAGCACAATTCTTGTTGAAGACTCCTATGATTTCCTGCAATATAAGATCATATTCGGTATTTGTTAAATACGAGCACATCTCAGTAGAGGTTTTGCTATTCAACCAACATTGGAGAAAGCAAGCCCATGTATACAAATTCATGGTCGGCAGTTTTTCAGAGTTACAGAACTGTTAAAATTTTATTTCTCAAGCCTTTACTTTTTCCCCGTGCACGACCATGAACATCGTAGCAATGTTTATAAAAATTAATAGTATTTAATAATAATTATTTAATAGGTTAAAGTCATTAATAATCAATAATTTGTGTCATTATTAAAATGAAAGTTTAACAAATCTTACACCACTTTTATCTAATGACGAGTGTAAGATAAATTTTTGAAACCCTCTCTCACGTAACATAAGTTTAGTGTGGAGTGAAAAAGTGAGTAATGATTTTTATATAAAGCTATACTCACTGAAATTTTCACCCATAATTTTAGGTGATAGTAAAGTGAACTTTTTTTCTTCTGTTTTTCAATGTATATACTGCATATGAGTGGTGGTTGTTACTCGTTACCTGTTGGGGAAACTCCCCGTTTTCTATTTGTGAATTGATCAACACCTTGGCCGCACGATGCAATGGGGTTGGATCTCTTTGGGCCTATATACAATAAAATAAGCAATGTCCTTTTAGCTGGTCAAGGTCTTATCTCAGCATTATAAATCCAAATAAACTGGTTCTAGACATTGAACATAATTTAACATTGCCTTGTTGTACCTGGCCTGCTTCAATAAGTGCCAACATAGCCCACGAAGTGTTCACTGTATGTGATTTGTGTCCTTCCAGATTTGTGTATACCTATTTGTACAATCGCTTACCATTAATTACTGAAAAGCTACTCTGAAAGGGATCAAACTAAGCTCAAAATTAACATTGCGAAATTAAGGGGCAAATTAGCTATAGATGCTTTATAAAGCACTATAAACTTCATGTTACCTTGTTTTGACTTGACATATAGCTCTCTCCCCAGCCACCAGAAAGCTGCTGTTTGGAAAGCAAAAATTCACATGCTCTTCTAATGCTGTGGCTATCTTGGTAGCTCTTACCTGCAGCTATGAGCCCCTTTATTCCAAACCATGTTCCGTAGGTATAGCAGATTCCCCATGATCCATACCTAGTTAATTAATTGCAAATCTTTATATATTTTGCCTTTACATTATAAAAAATGGTTTACTCAATAGAATTTCGTCAATGCCAACACTAATAGAAGTCTCAAGAGAAATTTGCAGGAGGTAAAAATATATACAGAGAAAAATTATACTTACAACTTATTTTTGTTTACAATCTTTTACAATCATATTTTAACCGTTGATTTCCGTCAATCAACGGTTATCATTTATTGCGAATTAATAATTAATTAATGGATTTAATTTGCGAAAATAATAACTGTTGATTGTCAGAAATCAACGGTTAAGATACGATTGTAAAATATTGTAAACAAAAATAAATTGTAATTATAACGTTGCTCTTTCTCGTTTATATATGTATAGTTATTTTTAATGCTTTAGTTAGACAAACTGAGTTTAATTGTTAACTAGGCACTTTTATATCATCATTTGGCAATTAAAAATAGGGAAAAGTAAATCTTATGTTGTAGGAGAATTCTAATCTCATGTCATAGATATATTAAATACGTGACCCACCTATTTAAAAAAAACAAAAAACAAAAAAATGAGTGACACACCTTTTCATGGTGTGTGTAGGAAGGGTTTGTTTTCTCACGCAACATGAGAAAAACAAACCCCTTAAAAATATTGATCCTTTGATGTTATCCAACACAATTAAATTAATGAACCTCTCGTTTGGTTAATGTTTGAAATTTGTATGTCAGGATTGCCTAAATCTTAATCCTTCTATAATTGAAACCCTTTTCTGAATTAGTTCGCTTGCATGACATGACATGTAATAAAAGAAGTGAGTTTCTGGACAAAATGAAGCAAACCATGAGCCATCAGCTAACTGTATGCTTTCGATAAAGTTTGATGCCTTAGCAATACAAGTTTCTATTTCCATCCTCCTGTGTTCTGGAAACCATTGTTTGAATAAGACAAGACTTTGAATCGCTGCTGATGTGCATTCTACGTACCTACAATAAATTATGGACTCATTTATCATAGATACAAATGACAATAATCTCAGCATATAAATCACAAGAAAATATGTCAGACATACTGATAATCAATGATGATATCTCCAAATGTTTCAGCTGGATTTATATTCTGTGACAGAAACCAATGGTGTTAACAAATTGAATCTACCTTCGTCATTTTAGAGAAAGTAATTAAGCTTTACCTCCAGCCATGCATATGATCTTGTGAGCTCATAGGATGCAAATCCACCACTTCTATTCTGTAATAATATGGAAGAGCAATTTGATTAAGCCACAATGACATGATGTTCAAGTTCTAAATTTGGATAAAACCATTCTTCTTATTCCCCAGTACTCAATGAAATCACTAAAATGTAAAAAAGAATGTTTAACACTATATATGTTCTGTTCGGTATGATTAGTAGGTACCTGCAGGGATAAAATGTAATTAACAGCATCATATAACTGTTCCGGTTCCACTGCTTTCCCAACAACCTCAAATGGCAAGTTTGATAACAAAATGGCTGCCTGAAAAGAACATGAACAGGTTTAACAGCATGATTTTTTTAAATTTTTTTTTATAAACCACAGATATCTTTCAAGGGAGACAATCCTGTTTTGAACGGGTTCAGGATTAAGACTTTAAACCTGTTTCGGATCCACACCTCAGGCCCACCAGTTGGGTCCAATCTCTTAAGCCCACATCTAGAACCTTCTAGAGGACACCCATGGCAAGTCATAGAGGCTCACCACTAAGGCATTCCCCTTCTTGCACAGCTGCCCCTGTACACTGACAGGAGCAGCATGTCTTGTTGAAGGACAAGACATGGCTTGGAGACAGCAGAGGGAGGACTAACGGTCTCTCCCAAAAAAGGACTCTCCTCTTTAAATACCCCCCTCACACATGGAGGGGGGATCTTCTTCTCCACCTTCGACCATGCTGTTACTCTACCCCTGGGTAGAACCATCTTGCCACACACACCCCCCTTGATGCACACCATGGGAAGCTTCATTAGTGTTTTGGTCTCTACCATTGCCACTATGGATACCCTCTATATCAACATACTTCACCCTCCATGGGACACATCTTATGTACACCAACAGTACAAAATCCCTCCCAAAAGTGGTATTAGAGAAGATCAAATGCATGCTCTCACCCCAGGACCTTACCTGCTCAGCTCCCATGCGCTAACTGAGTTACTATCGTTTGGTACAATATGATTTGTTTCATATAACTTTGATGATTTAAGAACCTATTAGCTTAGCTTTGAATATGATTTGAATGTTTAACTTAATTTGGTTTCAGCATATAATTCATCATCATTATCTATAGAGTCTTATGCTTTAAATGAAAAAATTTCACCAGCCAAATAACTTCATTTCTTTATTTTCTATTTTTCTTCATATTGATAAATCCATTCATGACTGTCACCTTCAAGCCTTCTGCAGTGCAATCTGACACAGGCCAACTGTTGTCTGGATTTGAGAAAGGCCAACCACCTTTAGAAATGTGGCGATACCAGTAACTATGGTTACCAGAGCTGTTCCTTGTAACCTGCATAGCCAAACACCATTTATTTATCATCATCAATATCTGTCACTCAGTTTATCTTAGTTTCTTCAGTCAATATACAATACCTGTGAGCATTTTATGAAATTATTTGCTTTATTAAGCATTGAACCGTATTCATCATCAATATTGGTAGCCAAGATTGCTTGAACAGATAAAGCAACATCCCAAAATTGAGAACCATTATATCCCTGACATGGAACAACCGTTTTCATTATTTGCAGGCCAATATTTAATCACTAATCTAAATTGAAGCTAATACACATGCATTTGTCAACTTTTGTAGACACAGATAATTTACACCAAGAGGTATAGTGCTGTAAGTAGGGGTGTAAATAGACTAGGCTAGGCTTATGTAAAAAGCATTGGATCTGACCTGGTTTGTTAGTCTTCTCAAATTATAATTTTGGTCTGACCTATATTTAAAAAATAAAAGCCTTGGCTTAGGTCTGTTAGCCTGTTTAAGCCTATTAAACATTCAATAATTAAAAAAAGGGTTTTATAAAAGTTATGTTATAGGAAAAGTGATTGTGTTATGTTATAGAGATTCGTTTTGCGTGCCTTAGTTTTTTTTTTTTTTGCTTCCAAAATGCGGGCCCCTCAAAATGTTGTGTGTGTGTAAGAAAAGTGATTGTATCATGTTACATGATGAATATAAACCCCTTAAAACAATAACTAAAAGAATATTACTTTATTATTCAAAATTATTAAAATAATAATGTTATTTATTTTATTAAAATAAATAATATGATATAAGCCGGCCTGTTGGTTTAAAGGCCCGATGTATACAAAAAAATCTAGGGCCTATTTTCTAATAAGTTTTTTTAAAAATCTAAGCCTGATCTATTTTATTATTTGTAATAGGTCAAGTCTTGCTTAAGATAGGCCATGCCATAAATCCCTGTAAGTCGGTCTAACCCATTTACACCCGTGTAAGAAAAAATGTGTTAGTAACATAATGGCAAAGAAATAATTGATGTAGAACCTGCATTTTCATTCCATCCTCAGCCACCCAGAGATAGTCTTTGATTCTTGAAATGTGACACTTATATGCGTCAGAATTGGGGTCCTCCAACCAACAACAAACCATGTTTAATACCTTATTAACGGGACCAATGCAGATGTAGTTTGTGTCTTCGTCGTGGTAGTGTATATGGTCCATTACATGATAGAGTGCTTTCTGCCTTAACTTGGAGCAAGGCCAGTGCATGAGAAGAGGTTCCCCTACATTGTGAAGAAAACCCCATAAAATATCTTGGATCATTACGCGTGGATCATGATACAAATCTTCCTGCAATAATTAGTTTACAATATATTGTAATTAGCATGTATAATTCCTTTATAATAAGAGTAATAATTTATAAACTTTATAATTTTGAGTAAACTATACTTCTTAATTTTACATATATTTTATAGTGTTATGTCATTTAAAATGACAAACACTTTTCCCATTTTATGTTTGCTACGAATAACAATCTATTTTGTCAAAAAAATTACACAAGATTATTTTGTATTATTACAAAGGAAATGCTTTTCTCCTTTCACATGGGACAAGATTTTATTTCTACACATACATCGACTTTCGTGCCAAGCTTTTGTTTTTACTTTTTTTTTTATAAATTACTCGTCCCACTTTTTTTTTGTCTCAGGAGACAATTCTTCTCTTCTGTGGAGAAAAGTATTCCCCTATTACAAAATGCTTCAACAAAGTCCAAATGTTCTCAAACCTTACTATTTTGCCAACATTAATTCGAAAGTACGTAGAACTATAGAAGCCTTTTTTTTGTTTTTTCCAATAAATTATGGGTTGCCAGTGTAGTTAAACACACACAGAGAGAATACCTTGGCACATAGATTTTTAGCCTGGTCCCAGTCGAGTAGATGATAGGGAAGAGTATACAGCTCTCTTCTAAGGGATAAAACAATGGCGTTGATAACACCCACGAATCTTCTACCATATAAGTATGACATTGGTAGATAAACCAACCGAGTGTGACACCACATCCTTCCTGCAAACACAGTGATGTCATTCATATATATAGTACTTGAAAAAGGGTATTCTAATATACTATAGAATTGTAAATAATCTGTACAAATGGTTCTTTATTTATAGAGAATATTTGACCTAATTTTGACCTAATGGGTTTGGCCCAATACAACAAATAAATGACTAAATTATTATTATTTTACAACACTCCCCCTCAAGCTGAGGAATAGATATTTATCATTCCCAGCTTGCTAGTAAGTTCTTGAAATCTGTCTGAAGGAAGCCCCTTTGTTAATAGATCAGCTAATTGACGCCCAGTGAGAATGTATGGAGTGGTAATCAACCCGCTATCAAGTTTCTCTTTGATGAAATGGCGATCAACCTCAATATGTTTAGTCCGATCATGTTGAACTGGATTATGAGCTATACAAATAGCGGACTTATTATCACATAACAGCTTCATAGGTCCCTCACATTTTATTTTGAGATCATCAAGTACAATTTTCAGCCACAGTAACTCACAAATGCCTTGAGCCATAGCTCGAAATTCAGCTTCTGCACTTGATCTGGCAACCACATCTTGTTTCTTACTTCTCCATGTCATCAAGTTACCGCAAAGAAACATGCAATAACCAGTGGTAGAACGACGGTCAGTCACAGATCCAGCATAATCAGCATCTGTGTAGACTTCTAAAGATAGATTGCCATCACGTCGGAATAACAATCCTTTACCAGGAGTACCTTTAAGATACTGAAGAATTCTCTCTACTGCCTGCATGTGTTTTTCTTTTGGATCGTGCATAAACTGACTGACAACACTAACAGCATAAGCTAGGTCTGGTCTAGTATGGGCCAAATATATCAATTTCCCAACTAGCCGTTGATATTGTCCTTTATCAACTGGAGGACTCTCTTCTTCATAGCCCATCTTGTGATTCTGCTCAATAAGAGTATTAGAGGGTTTACTCCCGAGCTTTCCTGCTTCTTTGAGAAGATCAAGAACATATTTCCTCTGGCTGATAAAAATTCCTTTGCTTGAATGAGCTACTTCTATCCCTAGGAAATATCTCAGTTTCCTAAGGTCTTTGATTTCAAACTCAGAGGCAAGCCGTGTTTGCAGAATCTGTCTCTCCACAAAATCATCACCTGTGATAATAATATCATCAACATATACAAGGAGCACAGTAAGCTTCCCATTTTGGGAGTGCTTGAAGAAAAGAGTGTGATCTCCTTGACTCTGTCTGTATCCTAAGGTCATCCTAACCTTAGTAAATCTTCCAAACCAAGCACGAGGTGTCTGCTTCAATCCATACAAGGCCTTTTTTAATCTACAAACTTTATTTTTCCCCTTCACAGAATCAAAACCAGCGGGATTTCCATGTAGACTTCTTCTTCTAACTCACCATTGAGGAAAGCATTTTTCACATCAAATTGATTTATATCTCAATTGTAATGGGCAGCAAGGGATAACAAGATTCTCACTGTTATCATCTTTGCAACTGGAGCAAAGGTTTCTTTATAATCAATGACATAGGTTTGAGTGTAACCTTTGGCCACTAATCGAGCCTTATATCTCTCAAGAGTGCCATCAGAATTATATTTCAGGGCATAAACCCATCTGCACCCTACTGCTTTTTTTCCGTTGGGTCTATCAATAACCTCCCATGTTTTATTTTTCTCCAAAGCATTCATCTCCTCTTGCATGGCTTGAGCCCAATTCCTATCTTTCAAGGCTTCATGTACTGATTTTGGGATTGCAATAGAATCTAGTGCTGAAACAAAGCTTTTGTTCTGCACAGAAAGATTAGCAGAGGAAACAAAGTGGGAGATAGGGTATTGAGTACAAGAGGGACATGAGGAACAAGTTTTCTTGTGACAAGATCTTTTTCCTTTTCTAAGAGCAATAGGTAAGTCATCAGAAGTAGAAGCAATGAGTAAGTCACTAGAGATATCAGAAGAAATAGACAAATCATGAGAGGAAATAATATTAGAATCAGAAACAGGAGATTCAGGAGACTCAGAAGAAATATGAGATTCAGGACTTACCAGTGGTTCAGACGATTGAGGTTGCTGGTGAGACATTATGGGTTGTATCTCAGGTGTATTTGAAGGTTCTGACACACCAGGAGCAGACACACTAGGAAGAGAGAAGATTGATCCAGACTCAAAGAAGGAAGGGGACGAGTCTTCTGAAGAACTGTTCTCCCCCTGACGATGAGGACCCAGGAAATAAGATTCACAACAATGGTCCCCTTGGTCCAAAAGGTCCCCGGAAAAATTTTCCGATGGCGGCAAGAGGCAAAGAAATTAGGGTTTTGTTTAAAAAAGAAGATAATATGTGCGGAAGCAAAGCCCTCAGATAGAGAGCTCTGATACCAACTTGAAAAATGGTATTCTAATATATTATAGAATTGTAAATAATCTGTACAAAAGGTTCTCTATTTATAGAGAATACTTGACCTAATTTTGACCTAATGGGCTTGGCCCAATACAACAAATAAATGACTAAATAATAACTAAATAATTATTATTTACAACAATAGTTCTTTATATTATTTTTACACAATTCTTTAAATAATTAAAATAAAAAATACACTTCTTAATATATGTATGCGTGTATTATTATTTGAAAAATTAAAAATGAAATCATTAAATTATGTATTTTTTTGAGTTATTTCAATCGATTCATAGCTTCGTGACTAATTCGATTCGGAGTGAGTCTCGTGATTAAGGCTTTAAACCTTTCTTAAAGACAGTATTGGAGAGGATCATACACACATACTCTCACCCTACCTGCTCATTTGGTAATTGATCATTTGATCTTTTAAACAATATATTAACCAAAGGTGTGATTAGTATGAAAGTAAAGAGAAAAGTTTTTCGCCATTAAAATTTATATAATGTGCATACTTATATTTTAAGAGATTAACCATAAAATTAATGAGAACCTGGGTGCAAAGGAACAAAGTATGGAAGCAACCATATCTCGGGGGGGATTGGTTTGATGCCGCTCCATTCGTAAACGCCAAGCACCTATATTCCAATAATCCATTTTCATTATATATTTATCTACGAACCTAGCTACCATTTGATTAAATTATTATTCAAAAACCATTACTACATTAAATTAAGGGAAAAAAGACTATCATTTAAAAGGACACAAGTTGTGTCCTTTTAGATGATTTACACAAAGTATGACCGGTCATATTTTGTATAAATATGAAAAGTTATTTTTTTTCTCTCTCTCTCCATTCACATCGCTGTTAATGACGTGTAAAGTGATTTTTTTTTTTTTTCAGAATTATATAGAGTATGACCATTCATACTTTGTGAGAGTCACTAAAAGAACACAATTTGTATTCTTTTGAATGACACACATTAAACTCTTAAATTAAACACGAGTGTCCAAGTTACTTAAGATATACCCACAGACACACTTACTGAAAGCCAGAGTTTGCCCCAGGAAGGAATCGAAGTAACACCGTCACGATCAAGAATCCATCTTCTTGCTTTCTGCATGGCTCCATCTCCACCATCGATGTCTTCTCCAAGCAATCTCAAGGTGACATAGCTGAGAGCTGTACAAAACATTGTGCTGGGTCCTTCTATATGCAATCCCCACCCTCCATCTTTGTTCTGATAACAAATGACATTATTCATAAAAAGAAGAAGAAGAGCTAGCTAGCATGAGTTCATGACTAACAAATTTAACACTGATTTGTCCCGGTCAATTAAGCTATGCACGCAACTCCGATCCTAGTCAATTAGTTACAAATGACCGATTAAAAAGGTGCCCCTAATATAACCGTATTTGATTTAGAACATTTTGGAAGTGACTAATAATATAATAATATCATTTGTAAAGTATATATAGATATGAAAAAAATATGTTTCATTTTAAAGAATATAAATTTAGGTTCTTTTAATAGAGAGATAGATATAAAGAGATGTGGGTTTTATTGAAAATAATAAAGACAAAAAAATAAAATTGTGGGTCTCACTTCTTTATATCTATCATTCTCTTAAAAAAGACCTGAATTCATTGTTATTAAAACCGGACTAGCCCGGCTGGTTGGCCCGAAAAACTGGTCCGGTTGTGACATTGAACAGCTTAAGTATTCGACCCGGTATTGACCGGGTGACCTGGTGATAAACCGCGGTTCAACTGGTACCGATTTTCTCGTTAAATCGGGTTTTTAAAATTAGCTACAAAATATTTTTCGCAGCAGGAGGGATTTGAACCAGTGGCGGACCCAGAAATTTTATTGAGGGGGCGAAAAATAAAAATGCTTTTTCATAAATAAAAGTACTTCAAATACAATACAGACCTAATATGCAAAAAATTGGAAGAAATATATTACAGATATTAAGATCACTTCAGTTGACTCTTACTCTACGTATTTTCATATTGTTAAACTCATCTATAATTGAATCCGTGCTAATACTGATTTTTCACTTCAGTATTTCCTTCAGAAATTAATACTGCTTTTTCAAATTGATTTTTGAGTTTAAATCACAAATCAAATCTTTATTTATTTATTTATATTAAATCACAAACCCAGAACTGAGAGGCTTCTGGGTTTAACCGTTCTTATAATACCATTCTTGCAAATTTAAATTGTGTTTGTGAGAAATAAAATATGTCAGATGAAATGTCATTGCGTAGATCTCGAAAAATTATGTGAAATAAAAAAAAATTACCTGATTTGAATAACCAAGTCAAAAGTTATGGCCTTCAGAAGTTTTACGATTAAATTGTTAATTTTCTTTTTGGAAAAAAATGTGACACGTGTCAACATCTGATGAGTGACGCCTAAATTAGGCGTGATTGCCTCTTGAGTGACGCCCAATTCAGGCATGATTGGTGACGCCCAAATTGGGCGTGATATTATGCAATAAATATGTAATTATTTTCAAAACTGTCATAAACTTGTAATTTTTTATTTAAAAAATAATATATCAATTTTTTGCCATTTTTTCACATCAATAGTGGAATAGGAATAAAAATAAAAAAGGTTGAGTGTTATGCGATATGGAGAGGAATTTTATATTATAAGATTTTTAAAACAAATAATTTAATAATATTACTCAAATTTTATATTATATTTATATAAAAATTTAAATTTTGGGGGGGGCGGTGGCCCACCCTAGCCCCCTAGGTCCGCCTAGAGCTACCAAAACGGGCCAGCCCGACTCATTTAGCCCTAGTCCAAGTGGGTTAGGCCAAAAAGCCCACAATGATATAGATCTACACGGCCCAAAGCCCTATGGGTTAGGGCCAGCCCGCGGGCCTTCTAAAAAAATAATATGTATTTTTTAAAGAAAATAGTTATAATAAAATGGTGCATAGAAATTATTAGAAAAAATAAAAATAAATAATTTTTAGAAAATTGTCACTTTTTAAAAAAATTATTGCATAGAAATATTTTCGTAAAAAGGTTTGACAGAAAACGTTTCTGTAAAAAAATTGACGAAAAAAAAAATTCGTCAAAATTCTTTACCGAATCTAAATTCCGTAAAAGTTTTTAACGAAAAAATTTCCGTCGAAATTTTGGACGAAAAAAGTTTTTGTAGAAATTCTTGACGAAAAAATTTTCGTCAAAATTTTTGACGAAAAAAGTTTTTGTTGAAATTTTTGACGACAAAAACTTTTGTCGAATTTTTTGACGAAAAATTTTCCGTCAAAATTTTTGACAAAAAAATTTCCGTCGAAATTTTTGATGAAAAAAGTTTTTGTCGAATTTTTTGAAGAAAAAAATTTTCGTCAAAATTTTTGACGAAACACATTTCCGTCAAAAAATTTTGACGATAATTATTTTTGACAAAATTTTCGATAAAAAATATTTCTATCAAAATTTTAAACGAAACACATTTTCGTTAAAAATTTTCCACGAAAATTATTTCTGTAAAAAAGTTTGACGAAAATATTTCTGTAAAAAATTTCAACGAAAAAAATATTTTGTCAAAAATATTTACGAAATCTAAACTTCGTCGAAAGTTTCAAAAATTTTGAAAAAAAATATTTCCGTTGTAATTTTCGTTGGGTCACATTTTCATCGAAGATTTTGGACAGAAAATATTCCGTCAAGATTTTTGAAGGAATTCTTTTTTCCGTCAAAACTTTTGATGAAATTTTTTTCGTTGTAAATTGGGTTGAATATTGTAGCCCGCGGGCCAGCCCCAACCAAACCCTATAATGAGAGGGCTTTAAAAGGATGGGCTTAAAATGACCCCATTACATAGAGGGCTAAAATTTTATAGGGCTTGAGCCCTTTTTGAGAGCTCGTCCGCCTATGATTTAAACCCGACACATTGGAGTGAGAAGTGTCACTTCATACCACTAGACTACCATCACTAGTTGAATAAAATGCACAATTTAATATATTTATTATATAACTATTAAGTTAAGAAAATTATTTCAAAAATTGTATGCAATGGGGTTCAAATCCCTTGCATTGAAGATATACAACATAACAAATACCACTAAACTACATCATGTTATTGTTTAGATGACACTATTTAAAATATGTAGTATATAATTAAGTATATATATATATATATATATATATATATATATATATATATATATATATATATATATATATATCCGGTTTAACCCGTGATCCACCGATTGAACCATTGATCTAGTGACTTAGTACCTCGACTAGATCAATGACCATGAGTCCGATTCTAATAACATTGCCTGAATTTGTATTCTTTAAAAGAAGACAGACTCTCCCCCGTATGATATATACCTGGTGGTTGATGAGATAGCGTCGCATCTCGCTTTGATGTTCAGGCGGTAAGACAACATTAAGGGCCCCCGTCACCGATAACCCAATCACCTAAACACAATTAAACGAAGGCATTTGTGAGGCTTCCATAATTTGCTTGACACATAATTTGGTCTCATAAGTAATTAATGATTGATTCATTTTTATTTTTTTTAAATGTTCCAATTACTTATCGCTTCGCGACTAGCCGATTCAAGACGGGTTCCAGGATTAAAACTTTAAATTCTTTCCAAAGACAATACTAGAGATGATCAAACACATGCTTTCATTCTTACGTCAACTGAATTACTACCATTTGTATGATTGATTGATTGATTTATGTTAACATGCATTTAATACTTCTTAGCATGATGACATCTTAATTATTTTATAATTAATCTGTATTCTATCAAGTGGCAATAATTGATTAAAAAAAAAGAGAGTATATAATATATAATAAATTCATAATATTCTAATTTTTTTAAATTGTAATATTATATAAATTTTAATTCATAAAGTTATTTAATTATAAAATTGTATTATTTTTTACATATTATTTAAATTATATTAAAAATAGTACTTTTTGTTTTTTTAACTTCGACCAAAAGTAAAAGGGTTTTATAATTCTCATTCAACATGAGAATTAAAATTTTCCTACACACCCTTCGATTTCCGTGCTGACATGGGTCTTACATATAATTTTTTCTAACACATGGATTCCACATGCTTTTTATCTCCACAACATGAGAATTGAATTCTCATTCAACATGAGAAAATCAAACCCCAAAATAAAATACAACAAATGAAGTTCGGGTTCGATTGTTGCAAAGGGGGTTACGAGGGAAGCAGCAGAGGGGACCATTAATTAATTGAAAACGATATATATAAGTATTTTGTTTCTATTTTTTAAATAGAAAAGTATTGGCATTGCTCGCCAGTTTCTGTCGTAACAAAGAAGTTAATTTAATAATTTGTAACGTTGAGGGGTATCTATTAAATTATAAGATTTGTTTGAGATTTGTTTAGATTAAAAACTAGTTAAATAAATTATCTTTAGGTGTTATGGTAAAAGGTGTTACTTGAATCAATTGTTTCTATATTAGATTTGGATTGCCCATTTGAATAATTTTGTTTTTGTTAAAAAATATAATAAAGTAAATTCACTTGAAGTTGAAATATATATATTAATATTTTAAATATATATTTAAAACTTTTGGATTAAATTAAAATTTTAAATCTCAACGTATCCATTTTCAAAAATTTGAAATAAAATAAAAGATAAAAGAGCAGAAAAATAAAAATAAAAATTTAATTCATATATTGAATTAAAATAGCTAGGATATCATGATTTAATTTTATATCTACGTTCTCTTTTAAAAAACATTTTTAAAAAAAGTAAAATATGAGTTATTTTAAATTAATTGTATATTTTTTTATAATTTAAAACATTTTTTAATTTATATTTTTAAAAGTTTATTTAAATTAAAATAATCGTTCAGTGCCAAAGATACTCGTTAGTGTAATGTATAATAATTATTTTTAAGTTATACTCCATTGATGTTAATATAACCACCAGTTAGTAATGAATCAAAAACTATTATATTAAAACAAAATTGTATTTTTCCTACGTACCAATTTTATCTTATTTTTCATTATCAACCACGTGATGTTTGAAAATTGATCCAATCATATAAAGTTATTAAATTTATGAAAGTTGACAAATACTTCATTAATCGTGCGTGTGCCCAAAAGAAACAGTGAGCGAAAATTATTCCTTTTTTTTTCTTTTTAAATAGGAAAGAGAAAAAAGGTTTTAATTTGTTATAAGTGATCGATCACTTGTAAGGTATCAAACCGGGAAGAAAGATATTTGTAGTTACCAAACCAGGTAGAGCAAACATAGGACCGCCATAATCACCGGGCCAGAAACCATCATCAGCCTGCAGGGTTGAGTAAGATCTCAACGCTCTTTTCAGTGTGTTTCTTACCATTTCCTCATTTATATCTTCCTCCCTTTCAACTTTCACCTTCCCTCCTTTCATCTCTAAGCCTTTTTCCTTCTCAAACTACAAACGGAGGGAAAAATAATCAGCCCAACAATAACCCTCATACAATAACCTTAATATATATACAAGGTAGGTTATATATTTTCAAATCAAAATCATACCAACTATTCTCATTCGATGTTATTTTATAATTGTTAATTTAATTTTGATTTAAAAAAATAATAATTATAAATAATTCTAAGGAAAAAGAAATTATAAGTATTTGTAAATATAAATCTCCCACTATAGTATATATAAAAGCCGTGACATATGTGAACAACATTAAAAAAAAGAAGAAGGAAAAAACAAAACCTTCTAATGAGTTTCTTGATTGTATGGAGTTAAGATAAACAAATTAACAAGCAAATAATTTAAAGTGAAGAGAATCATATACATATATGTGTATCAAATTAAACAACTGTATGCATGCATGCACCTGGAGTCTCATTAAGAGATCAGAACTATGCTTGAATTTGAAGCGGTTCTTGTTAAATTCTTTTCGAACTTGTTCCACTTGAGCTCGCTCTTCCTCAGTTCCAAGATGTGGATCGAACTCCCAGAACTGCCTTCCAATATGGTTATTAACGCTACTAACCCACTCGTCCTCTTTGCTCTCTGAAAGCTTCAGCTTCCACATCTTCTCTCGGATGGGGATGATGAGGACGTGTTAATAGACAAAGAATGTTTTGAAAGAAAGAGTATATTCTAAACCACAGAAATTTTGATGAGCTTAGTGTTTGTGACATGAAGTGGCAATTGGGCCTTTTTATAGACACATTTTGTAGGAAACTTTGAGATCTAGCTCCCGCGCGCATGCTTGTATAACTTTGCTAAAGTATCCTCCCAACCTTTTTATTCTTTCCTACTAAGGAGAAATATTAAATATACAAAACCATTTAATCTGAACCCTTCATTTATTAATTTAAATTTTATCAGAATTATTCATTAACTTATAATATCATAATTTTTGTGATTAAGGGGTTAAAAATATAATTTTTTTTGGAACTATTCCAATCGGTTCATCGTTTTGCGACTAGTCCGATTTAAGGCCGCTGGTCCCGAGATTAAGGCTTTAAATATCTCCCAAAGACAGTACTGAAGATGATCGAACACATGCTTTCACCCCACCTTCTCATTTCCCTGACGCCAACTGAGCTGTCATTAATTATTTGATAAACTCAAATCAGTGATCGACTCGGTCGAGGTATTGGGTCAATGAGTCACAAGTTCAATCACACGAATTAAATATATATAATAAAATACAATAAATATAAAATTAGAAATATTTTAGCTAATAATTAGAGTTAAGTGCTATAAGTTATAATCTACATGGTTTAGGTTCAAATCTCATTAGTGATATTTTTAAAGTATTTTGTCAAAAATTTCACAAAATCTATTTTTAAAAAAAAAAACGGTGTCGATTTAATACCGATTGAACTCGGTTCATGACCGGTTTACTAATTTCATACCAGGTCAAATACATAATCAGTCCAATACCTAAACCAAACCTCCCCAACTGATCGAAGAATCAGGCCTACTGATCGAACCAGCTGTGTCGGGTCAATTTTTATAACACTGACACCATCAATATCTTTTCTGTTGCATTTAGCTTCAGGAAAGTGCCAATGAAAGAGTAAATTAAAACTCCAAATTACTTGCTCTACCAAACAACAAAATCGATTCCCCAAATTGATATCCCTATCCAAACCAAACGTCATGAAATTTTTAATATCCAACCCAGGAACAAATTTTGGGTGCAACGGTTCCTACCCAAAAAAATATAAAAATTTAGATTTAAATAAAAATATAAATTAAAAGCTGAATTCAAAATATTTCCACTTACAAAAAAAAAGTATCCATTTGCATACTCCCACTGTACCTAAGAAATTTTCCAACGCAGATACCAAATAGATATAATGTTACATTAGTCGCAGTCTCGTAGAGGATGGGACCATCAAAGGGCTCCACATACATGTTAACTATGGTCAGAGGTCATTTACTTTTCCTAATCCTCCAAAGAAAATATGGTTCTGATTTGGTTGTATAGTAAATTGCTTTGTATGAGTTATTTTTAAATGTTTTTTATTTGCTGAAAACCCGTGTTTTTGTTTTGTACTTGAACTGCCGGCTTATAGTAAAACAATAACAAAACACATGGAAGAGAAATTATACTCTTATGTTACATAAGACTCTTCTTTCATTTTACACTCACATAAAAAGATGTGTCTCACTTTTTTTTTCTTTTCTTTTTTTTTTTTAAATTGGTGAGCTCCACTTAATTTATCTCACAACATGAGAAAACTTTTCTCATATAACATGAGAGAAGTAAAACTCAAGATAATATAAGGTTAAATTTGAAACGTACTAAATAACTTTTTTATTAAATAAAAAATTCTTAGGTATAGATATAATATTTTTAAAATAAACAAGAGTAAGGCAACCCGTTTTTCTAATAAAAAAAGACAACCCGCTTTAAATGAAACAAAATGTAAAATGTAATAGTATAATACAGCTAGTACTATATGTACATCCTTTTTAATTGTTAATGGTCCCATATTTCGTAAAGCCCTCGCTAAATGTATTTTGTCATAATCAAAATGGAAAATAGTTATATCATGTTGTAAGAATTTGGTTGTGTCATACTATAGATAGAACTAATGTGGACTCCACCATTTTCTTTTCTTTTCTTTTTATTTTAAAAGTGATGGGGTCCACATTAATTGTGTCTATAGCATGACACAACTAATTTTCTATAACATGATACAATTATTTTCCAAATAAAATATACCTTTGGTTTAGTGGTTTCAAGTTTAAGTTTTGGGTATGCAATTATGGAAGGGTTATGTTTGTAATTTTTTTTGTTTATAATTCTTACAATATCAGCTATGTTTTATGAAAAATACAAATATTTGAGAATATACTCCCTGAAATATATAGTTGAGCTTGTAAGAGAAAAATTGTAAACGTAACATATTTCATGTAATTATATTAAAATTTAGTAGGAAAGATTTTGTTCTCCTTATAATTTTATCTGACTCAAATCTAGATTAATCAAACCCATGTCGGCCACCAGATACGGAATTGTTTTTTTTATATATATGTGGGAGAATATTAGTCTCATGTTATATAGGAGTAATTTTCTCATGCTATAGAGAGAATTCAAATGGAACCTACCATTAAAAAGCAAAAAAGAAAAAAAAGGTATGCGATTTTCAAAGTGAAAAAAAATGAGATAATTATCTCATGTAAAATAAGAATAGTATTTCTCTATTATCTTTAGAAGTTGCAATAATTAAAACTAAGTAATGAGGCAGCCTAAGCGACCTTATTATGGGTGTATTCTCATGTTGGCCTAATTATATTAGGGAAATTATTCGAGATGGGACCATTAATAATTTAAAAGGATGTATACTAGCATGTTTTCAATTTTGTTTTATTTAAAACTAGTTACCGTACTCTTGTTTATTTTAAATTTTATATCTATTCGTACCTGTGATTTTTTTGTTTCATAAAAAGTACGTGTTTTAAATTAGTTTATATTATTTTTCTTGGAGATAATACTTACAATAATTAAAACTAAGTAACGAGTCAGCCTAAATGTTTGTGAGTATTAAGGTTGTATTCCCACATTAGTTTAATATATTAGAGAAATTATTTGTTTTCTCTTTATTTGGCCACTTGTTTGGCTTTTAGTTTGATTTCTTGTTTGCTGCAAGAGTGCGCGCAAATATACGCGTCAACAAATAATTCATGGCATTTTTTGGATCCCAATATCGTTCCACAGGGATCACGACGTTTTTGAATCAAATGAAAAATTGTAATTGCTAATAATAAAAGTAAGCTAATCAATAAAAAAAACTTAAAAAAAATAAAATCAATTTCCTAAAGATTAACCAAACTGAGTAAAACACTGCATGTGTGTAAAAATTTTCTGGATTTAACTTTTGGTTAAAAAGTGTATAATTTGAATAAAAAAAAAAAGTTGAAATCAAATAATTGTCTATTTGTTTATCTGATTTAAGGTCTTGTTTTCATTTTTCTTTTGCATAAAATCTAAAATGATGATTGAAAATGCTTTAAAGGAAACATAATTGTAGAACATAAATACGTTGGTGAAAGTATTTAAAATAAGTGGTTGAGCCGCGTTCCTTTCCAAAAACACTAAGTGCCTCTTTGTATCATTTCTTTGTTAAGTTAGAACCTACTTAAAAGCATAAGTTAGACCAAATAGTTTTTGGAAAAAGCTCTTATAATAAAAAGCTCTTTTTTTATAATAAAGGAAAATGTTGAAAATTAAAAGCTCTTAGGAGGAGCTTTTTTTTAAGCTCTTATCTATTTTTTTTTAAATTGTGTGTTTTTAAAAAAAATAAAGAGTAATAAAGATAAAGAGAGATAATTTTCTTAAAATATGTAATTTTTAAGTTAAAATTTTTATATAATTTTCAAATAATTTTTAGCTTTTTTTTAAGCTCCAGCTTATAAGTAGAGCTTAAAAATACAAACTAGGCTAACGGTCTCTAAATAAATGAAGATGTTACCAATTTGCTTATCAATTTTCTTTGGTTAACAGACACAACAATTAATCTTTAATCTCTTAAAAATTAGTTTCTCCAAATTCATCCACGGACATATGTCTATGTCCATGGGGATAAAGAGCTTTGAAGATCAAGTCCTTGGTTACATGATGGGCTTCTTCAAGTCTAAAGTAAGACAGACCCCTTGAAAAATTACTTATTCAAGCTCATGTGCACTAAACAAGGTCCAGAATAAGTTGTTTCTCAACAACTTGTTCCTACACAAACCCCTGACATTCCAGCCGAAAATGCAGAAAGCTTCACAAATAGAATACAACTTAGAACAACCAAATTTTAAACATTAAAAGTGGAGATAACATCCATTCACATAGTGTTGAGGTTCAGGTATGACCTCGACCCAACCTTGAAGAGTCTTTAGCTCATATCCGTATATGAGCTCTCAAAAACAGCAAATGAGTTTAAGAAAAATTACAAATTAAAGCTGGAATTAAACTAAGCAGAAGCTCTATCTCAAGACAAGCTCTGCAAAAATATACACAATTATAGAATTCTAAGGATTGAAAAACAACAAACAAGAAGTCCAGGAAAAAAAAAATAAAAATTGTCCAGAAAAAAGGAAAGAGACATCTGATATGTCATTTGCTCCTCTTATATCACTCCTTTGTGCATGAGTCGTGTGAGCTCATCTACAGCGTCCACGTGTGCATCTGTTTCACAAATCGCGTGACCCAGCCTTGCACCTACACTACCACGATTCGCATTTGTTTCACTGGGCCCTGATCTCTTCTCTTCGAACTTGTTTGGGTTTTAATTCATTTACACACTTGGGCCTTCGAAACTGAAACCATAAAACAGAGTTCATTAATCAATCTTATGGAACTGCGTTAGAAAAATACTTTAAAAAAGGTTAGCTTAATAATTCAATTAAAACAAAGGAAAAAATAAATCTTATGTTGTAGGAGAATTTTACTCTCATGTCATAGATACATCAAGTGTGGGATTCACCTATTTAACAAAAACAAAAAACAAAAAAAATGAGTGGCACACTTTTTTATGGTGAGTGTAGAAAGAGTTTATTTTCTCATACAACATGAGAAAAACA